TAATAATCCTTCCTGAAGGGGGTGTGAGTGTGAGGTCTGGATGTTGATGTTGGGAGGATGTTAACCGGAGGATGTTAAGCGGAGGGCTGATTGGACTTGAAGGAGATGCAAGGAAGGGGATAAAGGGAGTGGGAAGAGGGGGTTGATAACGGAAATGACTCGGGGAGAAGAGGGTGGTGAGGGGAGGAGAGGTTTGGGAAGAGAAGGAGGAGAAAGGAGAAGAGGAAAACGAAGGGGAGGAGGAAAGGATGTGGGGAGGAGGAGTATTCGCATATTCTCCCATTGCCTCCTCTCTTCTTTCTTTCTTTCTCTCTCTCTCTCTCTGTCTCTCGCCTTTTGATCCTCTCCCATTGCTCTCTCCTCTCTCTCCTTTTCTCTCCCCCCCTCTCCTTCTCCTTCTCTCTCTCCTCCTCTCCCTCTCCATCTTCCCTATCTCTCTATTCTCCATCAACTGTACATGATGAAATCTACACAGAGCTAGTCACAATACGAAGTTGGTAAATTAAACGGATTCATATTTGTACAATCAACAAAAGCGGAAACTCAGGACATTAAAAATTTCTTACTCTCTTTGTGATTGCTGATATACTTTTACTTTGTTATAACTGACGAAAGCCTTGTAATCTCCTTTGGGATCGGTAGAATCTGTGTGATCTATTTTCTGATTGGAAAAAAAAATATTGTAATCTCTTATGTGATTGAGAAAATGTTCGTAAATTCCCCTGCGATTTGCTGAAGTTTGTATTTTTCCCCTAAAAACATGCGAAAGGTTTGTAATATACATAAAAACTTGCAATTGAGTACATTTTTTTTTTTTTTGGAATTTGCAATATATATCAAAGAATGGAGTAAAAGAGAACCAATGAATACAAAATGAAGAGAAGGAAATAATGATAACAAACAGTGTATATAGAATCAAACGAAAATTACTTTCCTCATATGGTCTTTTGAACGTACAAAATATACCGAAAGGAATTTAAACCTTTTTACCCAAAAGGAATTTGATCTTTTAAAAATTCCTTTTGATTAATACTTTTGTTTTTATTAGCGACTACTCTCTCTCTCCCTCTCTCTCTTCCTCATTCTCTCCCTTATTGTATTATTCAATTATTCCTTTTCTTTAATTTTCTCTATAACCATAGTCTCGACTGGCTTCAGCAATTCTGAAAAAGCGAAGCTTAATCTAGTCTAAAAGGTTTATTAAAAGGAATCTGCGCATGAATTTGGTAAATGCGATTTATTCATGAATGGCTCTTAATAGAGTATATAAGCCACTACCCTCCCTTTCTCCCCTCCCCCGTGTGGGATGAATGTGGGAAGCAGTAGAGAAAAGGGGAAAGAAGCTGTGCACACACACGCCCACGCACGCATGTGTGTGTGTGTGTGTGTGGGGGGATTGTGTAGTGTGTTGTGTTTGCGTCTTTGTGTATGTGGTGTGTGTGTGTTTGCGTCTTTGTTGTATGTGTGTTGTGTGTGTGTGTGTGTATGTGTGTGTGTGTCTGTGTGTTATGTGTGTGTGTGTGCATGTGTATGTGCATGTGTATGTGTGTGTGTGTAGTGTGTAGTTGTGAGAGAAGAGAGACAGAGAGAGAGAAAAAGAGAGAGGAGAAAGAGAGAGAGAGAGAGAGAGAGAGAGAGAGAGGAGAAAGAGAGAGAGAAAAGAAAGAGAGCTAGAAGCGAGAGAGAGAGAGAGGGAGAAGGAGAGGAAGGGGAAGGAAAGAGAGTGTGTTTATATAAGGGTTGCCAAGCGTTGAGCATTCAAGTGAAAGGAAAACGTTACCGCAATGCAAACAAGTCAGATTAAAAACCGAGTAGAAGCCTTTTATCATCATTTTTTCGAAAAATAAGACAATCGTTATATTCTTTTCAATACCCATACCTAAAAAATAAATATAAAAGTGAATAGAAACCTTTGAACGAAAGAGAAACGGCACATATATTACTCCGAAATTGATTTAGTTTAGAAAAAGGAAAAAATTCTAACCCTCATTTCACCTCTTCTCGTCTCTCTGTCTCCCTGTCCTCTTTTTGTAAGTCTTTTTATATATTAATCTCTCTATCTTTGGCGGTTATTTATTCCTTGACGATATATTATCTATTTATCGATTTTCCTCACTTTTATTCATATATCTTTTTTTTCTATTCATTTTTCTTTATTTATTGATCTATTCTTATTAATTTATCTATCTTCATTCATTTGTCTATTTATTTCAATTCATTGATTTATATCTACTTGGTAGAGTACAACGAAATAAAACTATTAAATCAATGAAAGAATAGAATGCCGAGTTCTGTATGCTAAATCCACCCATTTTTCCCAAAGGATTCCACACCTATGAATGCATTCGGATAAGCAACAAATAATCTTTTCTGCAAAGCTCATTGGCATTGCAACCCCCCCCCCCCCCCCCCATTTCTAGAAATTAAGGCATGGCATCTCTTTTTTCGGAGTTGTCAATTTCGGAATTTCCCAACCAAGGATTATTAGCTGCCCGATCACATGTTCCTTAGGTGGAACCAGTCAGCTGAATTCCAGTGTTGTGTGGTACGCTCTGTCTCTCTTTTCTGTTAATGAATTTCAAGTTTATTTCCCGTTAGATAGATGTGAATATCGATCAGTTTAGATATATAGTCACGGAAAATAATGTTAGTCGTTTTGTTTTTTTATATATGCTCTATAAAGATCTTTAAAACGTTTTCTCTAGCGTTATGGAGAGAGAGGAGAGAGAGAGAGAGAGAGAGAGAGAGAGAGAGAGAGATAGAGGAGAGAGAGAGAGAGAGAGAGAAAAAAAATATCAATGATAGTGATGCTAGTGATTAATGATAGTAGTAGTAATAACTGTAATGATAATAGTCATGGTAACGGTAATGGTAATAGTAATAGTAATATTATTGTTATAGTTATGATAATGATGATTATAAAAGATAACAAAAATGATAACAATTATGATGATAGTAATGATTGTAACAAAAATATTAATGGAATAATGATAATTGTGGTGATAATATTCAGTATAATAACAATAACAAACTGATAATGTAATAATACAACATTATTACGAATAATGATAACGGTGCTACTGCTACTGTTACTGCTACTACTAATAATAATGATAATGATAATAATTCTTATTAGATATTAATATAATAATGTGGTTTGTGTGTTGTGTGTGTGTGTGTGTGAGTGAGTAGTGAGTGAAGTGAGAGAGAGAGGAGAGAAGTTGAAAGGTATGTGAACGTTCATGTTATTACACCCATGTCTGTATCCGTGTGTCCCTGCATACATGTCAGTGTCCTTTCCCCTTCCCCTACGTGTGACAGCGTCCGGGTGACCCTGTGACGAGACAGGTCAAGGGACAGTTAATTGAGTCACGGCGGCCCAAGCCATCCATCTCTGGCCGCCACACCCAGGGAAATATTGCATGCAAGCACCGTCCCTTCCTGACTCAGCATGCCTCCACATCATCGCCCGGGCCAGAGTTGATTCACCGTAAGGTTCGTTTTTGTATGCAAATTTCGAGCACTAATTTTCTTGTGGGTGGACCACCGTAACGAATTACCCATATGGGCCTATTGGCAGTTCCTCTGTAGGGTGGAGCGGGCAGGGAGAATATATATATAAGGGGAGGAGTTGGGGGAAATACGAGGAGTTTAGGGAGAAAGGCGCTGGATCGGTTTTAATATATATATTATTTAAGGGAAGAAGTCTGGGGGTAATATGAGGAGTTTAGGGAGAAAGACGGAGGATTCAAGGGGAGAAAGGGGAGGAACGTGGGAAATAAGGGGAGAAACGTGGGATAGGAATAGGGAGAAGTTGAGAAGGATACAAAGGCAGAGGAGAGCTAGGGGGATTAGAACGTGGGTAGAATTAAAGGAAAGAGGGAAGAGGCCGGGGAAATCTGAGAGGTTTAGGGGAAAGCCTTTTGAGTCTTTGGAGAGAAGGTCTTTTTGAGTCAGAAGAAATGATGGTTTTTAAAAGGGGAGAATGGGGAAGGAGTCAAAGTAAACATGAAGAGGATTTAGAGAAGATGCTAGAGGGGTCAGGAAAGATGGGAAAGGGTAATGGAAAAAGGGGGAATTATTGTTCAGGGCAGAAAGAAGTGAGGAAAGTAAAAAAAAGTCATGTAATAAAATCAAAGAAGAAAGGAAAAAAGTCATGGAAATGAAATGAGGAATTTAATGAGATAACGAGAGAAAGGGCTAGGAGCTTAAGGAGGATTATTAATATTAGGGGAGAGGAAAGATAGGAGGTTGGAGTTCAAGTCGGGAGGAAAATGTTAAGACAAAAAGTGAGAGGAAGCTAATGAACAAAAAGAGGAGTTATAGGGGAAAAAGAGGGAGGAGGTCAGATGGAATAAAAAAAGGAGTCAGAAGAGAAAAAAGTGGAGTATATATATATATATATATATTAAGGAGGAGTCAGAGGAAAGAGTGGGTCAGGAGTTTTCAATTTGGATAAGAAAGGAGGAGTCAGTAGATAAAAAAGGAGGAGGTCAGAGGAATAAAATATGAGGAGTCATGAGGGGAAAAAAAAGGAGGGAGGATGATGTCAGTTGTATAAAAAGGTCAGAAGAAAAAAGTAGGGAAGGACTTCAGTGGATTAAATTATTATATGAGTAAAAAAAAGTGGGATGAGACAGCAATGGAAACAGGTATATTATATATCTTTGAAATTCAGGGAAATACGTTGCTGGGGTGAGTGGTGAAGGGAAAATTATCTCTTAATAATTCTTTTCGTGGGTTTTCTCGTATTGCCGCTGCTCCCTGCCATTACTATCGTCTTTCTTTTCTCATTCTCCCAAAGGTTAATTGAAGAAGAAGAAGAAAAATCAATGTAAACGAGAAAAAATACCAGAGAATTAAACCCACAAACATGTATGGTGATTTTGAACCAATGTTGCCCCTTCCTCTCTCCTCTGTATTCACCATTTCTTTCTCTTTTTACCCATTTATCTCTTGTGTATTGTCACAATTTTTATAACTTATTTTGGTCCTTATGCAAAACTTTTAACATCTATCACACACCACACACGAACACACTACACTTTACAACACACACAACAACACCACACACACACACAACACACACCACAACCACACCACACACACACCACACACACTCTCTCTCTCTCTCTCTCTCTCTCTCTCTCTCTCTCTCTCTCTCTCTCTCCACAAATTACCACACACACACTACACAACACACACACTCTCTCTCTCTCTCTCTCTCTCTCTCTCTCTCTTCTCTCTCTCTCTCTCACTCACACACACAAACACACACACACACTCCATTTTAATGATATATCTAAAAGCCTTTTTTTTACCGTCCCGAAAACCCAAACACTTTGATACATTTTTTCCATGTATCATACTCGCTACAAACACGAGATCATCGAAGTTCGTACTGACACGCAAAGTTTCTAAAAAAAGGTTATTTTTCTTAAATTCACATGAAAAAGTCAACAGAAACACATTAAAGTACTTGATATGCTGGTATGCTTTTTAATTACAAACAAAGCTTCCAATGAAATGGAAAAAATTACTTTACCACTATGCAACTTATTTTGTTAGCAAGGCTGTGGAACCTTTTAAATGTATCCTCAGATCCAGCCAAAACATTTTTCTTTTATTAAATGTATTCCTCAGATTATTTTTAAATTATTATGATTTTCTTATTACGTTGCATTTTATGTGACAATTGAAAATTACAGAAAGTCTTGTTTTTCATCGTATCCGCCAAGAGTGAGCTCCGTGTCCGAATCAGTCAGCTGGATCCTTTCAATGAGCACGGACTTTCCCTTGTCTTATTAACTGAATTTAGTGCACCTTTATAGCATATATATATATATATATATATATATATATATATATATAATATATATATTATATATATATATATATATTCTCTTTTTCTCATGTTCTTTTTTATCAAGAAACTTATGATGAAATTCGTAAATAATAAAATATGAATCCCTACCTGAGACCGTGAAATCTAAAAAAGAAGAAGAAGAAAAAAAAAAATCAGAGATGTTGGAGGATTAGGGAGAGACGGGAGAAGGTAATGGAAAATGGGATAAAAAGAGAGGATGCTCAGGGGAGAAATAAAGAGAAGATGAGAAATTAGTGTAATGAGATCAAGAATAAAAGGGATAAGAGTCATCGGAAATGAAATGAGGATTAATGAGGCAATGAGAGGGAAAAGGAGGAGAGAAAGAGGGAGAGGAAACTAAAGGAAAATGTAATAGGAAAAGTGGGAGGAGACGGAGGAGTGGGAGGAACGGAAAAGTGGGAGGAGACGGAGGAAAAAGTGGGAGGAGACGGAGGAGGGGTGGAGACGGAGGAAAAAGTGGGAGGAGACGGAGGAAAAAGTGGGGGGAGACGGAGGAAAAAGTGGGAGGAGACGGAGGAAAAGTGGGAGGAGACGGAGGAAAAAAGTGGAGGAGACGGAGGAAAAAGTGGGTGGAGACGGAGGTAAAAGTGGGTGGAGACGGAGGAAAAAGTGGGAGGAGACAGCAACGAGTATAGGAGGAACAGGAATCGGTAAATATAAGAGTGAGTTTATATGGGATATATGTAATATTTTTTCTTCTTCACAGTTTTCACTTATTTCTCCAAATAACCCTTATAGACACCATCAATGTCGCTGCTCTTCTTTTTAACATAATCATCAACTTTATCATTTCTATCTCCATCAGTGGCCGTAGTGCTATCATAGCTACCGTTACAATCATCATAAGTCTCTCATTGCTATTATCATCCCTATTAATACTATTACTGTTATCATCATTACGATTCCCAACTCATCTGTTAAATCGAAAAAGAGGAACCCAGTCACAGAATAGCATTGCACAATAATTGCACTCACATTAAGGGCAATGAGTATTCATTACACGCGAACACAAACAGAAGTGTTGTGTGACGGTAGGATTGGGTTCGAATATGTTGCAAAGTTGCATGTGTGTTTGTTTTTGCCTATTTGTCATGTTTTTTTCTTACTTACCTTTTGCTATACATTATATTTTAAATGTATATATATATATATATATATTATATATTAATATATATTATGTGGTTGTGTGTGTGTATATTATATATATATATCATATAATATACTATCTCATACTTTATAC